GAAAAGAATGAGAAACCATCTAAATCAGTTCGAAATGAGCGTGTCATAATAGCTTTTCATGCAGTCATAATCGATTGCAATAATGAGGAACCCAATGGTCTGAAAACTTCGAAAAAATATCTGAAAACTTCGAACTGACCTCAGCTCAGGCTGAGGCTTCGCTAGAGGCTACTCTTTATCCAAAAGTGCCCAATATTCATACATTTGTGATGAAGCTCCGGATTGTTTCTGAAAAATTGTCAATTGTCAATCATCAGAGAGCAGTTCGCCTTTATACGAAATGATAAATATGGGATGTTCGTTGTCAATCATAAGCACATTCAAACTCATCGTTGTCCTAATCTTATCGTTACCATGAATCGCTCATCGTTATCTCTTCAATAATAATCGACGGTTTTCCAGTCCAATTTTGGACGCGTTGTAACGAATTATTCGCAGATCTGATGTTTTAGCAAATGACTGGTCAAAGTTCTCTTGGAGACTATCCGAAGATTCTCTACTATGCAACGTTTCGGGATCAGTTGTTTCGAAAGTACGCTTTCCACCCACCAAGGATCCACGAACGTTCTCGGTTCGAATCCTTGCCGGTATATCCTCTTCTCTCTATTAAAACGAATTGCTTGCTTGCTGTTCCCGGGATAATCAGTGTTATGTTCCCGGGGACTTTTCTGTGTTTTTTCTCAGTCCCAAAAGATAGAAAAGCGAAAATGCTGATTAAGAGAAGAAATAATTGAACTAGTGAAATGAGTGCTTAACTTAGAAATTTAAGGTTCAGGTTTGTCAGTGATGAAGTGACCGATTGTTTGTTTCTTATTTAGAACATGGATGGAATGTCGAATTTTCAACACGTATCAAGAATTTTGATGTTGAATCGAATAAATGAGTGCAATATTTTGTTTTTGTTTAGGTCGTGGACCAAGATGTTTTCGTAATCTGACAATTGAAAATGAGCAAATTTTGGGATGTCCGCCATTGCTGAACAGAAATCTCTTCCAGTCGACATCTTTCGAGTGTGGATGTGATGCTAGAACATTATCGGGCGCTGAACAACTAATCCATCATAAAGGTTATAATATGAGCGCTTCGTTTAGTGAGTTCATTGCTTGAGCGTTTGAAAGTATTGTTGATGGTAGTTACTTGTTTTTCTAAAGAACACAATCTTCTGATATTCATTTTCTGATAGAGCAAAGTTCGCTTGCAATCTCCAGTTT